TTGTACTTGTACTTGTACTTGTACTTGTACTTATACTTATACTACTACTACTACTACTACTACTACTACTACTACTCCTACTCCTACTCCTACTCCTACTCCTACTCCTACTCCTACTGCTACTGCTACTCCTACTGCTACTGCTACTGCTACTCCTACTGCTACTCCTACTACTACTCCTACTACTACTCCTACTACTCCTACTACTACTACTACTACTACTACTACTACTACTACTACTACTGGCGACTGCGACTACGACGGCGACGACATCGAGTTGTACTAGTACTGCCTCAAAACAGTACTACAGGGATTTGGGCTTCTGTAACTCCGGATGCTACAACTCAAAGCAAGCAAGCATGCGAGCGGCAGCCTGCAGGACTTCCGCCGCACTCCTGCAGCGGCAACCACCACGCCAAGGGCAGCACTGCGCCGTCTGAGTGGAGGCGATGCAGAAAGGATTCCTGATCCGAGCAACATGTACGGTTTTAATGTATGACAGGCCTACTGCAATTCGGATTAAGGGACTGCGAGCATCTGACTATGATGCCGATGTTCATTCCCACTGCTTTCTCTGCGACTACCGCACTCTGTTATTGTCATGCGATGTATGCACTACGAGTGGCAACAAAGCTGACTGCAAATCACAGTTGATAAAGTTCCTGCCGCTACCAGCATGCCATTCCCTCGCAAATGCCCTTTTGGCTATTCGTCCCATAGATACATTACCGGCAATGACTACTCCTGCTGCTGCTGCTGCTGCTGCTGTAAGGTGCTGCTAGGGGTTGGATTTGGGAATGACAACGCTGGACATTGCGACACTGTCTCAGTCCCAGGCAAGTGCCGGCGGACGAACCCTAGAGCCCTTAAGCTCCCACTAGAAACCCCCTAAAACAACCCTAAAGCTCCCACAACAATCTTAAAGACATAAACAAACCCTAAATCCCTCAAGCTCTAGAGACCCTTCCCGGAGCCTCGGCTCTGGCGCTCGCTCTGGCGGTGCCAAGAGGCTCCGGGCTTTTGCACGCTCGCTGCGAGGCCATGGAGGCCATGGAGGCTCAAGCACATGGGTTTAGGGTTTAGGGGTTTTGAGGGTCTTAGTAGGATTCCTTCAAACTTTCTATCGCGATTTGGGGTTCTGGGTGACGGAATTCGGGGTTGTGACGGCTTCAGAGTAGAATGCTAGGATGGCTTTTGTTAAGGGTGTTTTGTTGGCTGCCGCATGGCAAGACCGAAGACCTGGGGTATGACTCCAAGAAGCAGTATGTACCGGGTGCCTCGGTGGTTCAAGGGCTAACTTTTGCCTTGGCTCGGCCAAGCAACCTTCCTTGCAAGCGAGAACATCAGATGCAAGCAACAGTCGCTCCGTCAGATTGATTTTGCGGAGGTGCAAGTCGCACGCCAATAGGTTTGTTGTAAGCTTGCAGTGTGAGACACTGTCCTTCAATTAAGGTGGCGCATTTCCTCTTCCTAAGCCTGATGAACAAGTCGCGAGTTTCTGACTTCTCGATCGGAGATGCAGTTTGACAGCCTCTTAGAAAGTGTGAGTGATTAAGATCCACATGTAGGATTTTGCGACAGAACTCACCATTTGCAGCACCTACTTGGCAAGCATGTCGGAAGGACCTTACTAGCGTGCAGGGGCTGGGCTTGCTCGATTTTTGTTGCTGGGGCACAGTGGGCACAAGACTCATCATGAGGGCAGGTCTTGTCCTAAACCACGTGGAGCCCCGATGTGACCGCCTGCCCCCACTAAAGACAATCTTCGGGGAATTGCCTGATTGTTGCTGACACACGAATTGAAAGGGCTGCCGACCTCTACCGCCGATGCTTGTACTGAGACTAACACCATGACCAACACAGCTTAAACTGTTCCTAGCATATATAAACAAATAAATAAATAAATAAATATATATATATATATTACCTACTCTCTACTTTTATCCCTAGATTGTACAATAAGTGAAAGACTTTCCTGGCCCACGCCTACTCTAAGATACACTAAGAGTAACTGACACTATCACCCTGATGCTTGCTGTCATGGACCAATTTTAGCCAGCCTTCAAACGATGGCTCTGACTTTGGGCTTCACTTCTTCTGCGGGCGCCGGCGCGAGGGGCGTGCCAGCTGGCTTGGGCGGCCCGGAATGACACAGAGCCTGAGTTCAGACAGAACGGAGAGAGGGACCACAGTATACTATTGAGACGCCAGCGACAAAGCTCAGGTAGTTCCAGCGTCAAAAGCAGCAGCAACAACAGCGGCAGCAATAGCACAAATAAGTCCAATCAAGACATGAAACATGAAAGCAACAGCTGCTCACGAGGATATGATCAGTGATGACAGTTATAGTTCGCACAACGTTATGCATTTGGAGGATGCTGCTGATCATGAGCCATGAAGAAAGAGAGGGCCTGACTCAAGTATGATGATGGTTCTCGTGCTCAAAGCCGCATTCAAGCCATTCCTGGCACTAGGTATCTAAACTGTATTCCACTACTCCATCAACGATGAAGGTAACAAAGTAATGGTGGTCATGTTGAGGGTCAGCAATAGTCCTAAGCGCAACAACAACCACAACCACAACCA